TCTCCCTCCCCTCCCTCTCCCCTCCCTCCTTCCTCTCCCCTCCTTCCCTTCCCTCTCCCCTCCCCTACCTCCACTCTCCCTCCCCTCCCTCCTCTCCCCTCTCTCCCCTCTCCCTCCCTCCCCTCTCCCCTCCCTTCCCCTCTCCCCTCCCTTCTTCCTCTCCCCTACCTTTCCTCTCTCTCCTTACTCTTTTACCTCCGTCCCTCACCCTCCCTCCCTCCTCTCCCTCCTTCCTTACTCCCCTCCCTACCTCCTCTCCCTCCTCCCTCCCACTCTCCCTCTCTCCCTCCTCTCCCCTACCTCCCTCCTCCCCTCCTCCCCTCCCTCTCCCTCCCTCCCTCCTCTCCCTCCCTCCCCTCCTCTCCCTCCTCCCCTCCCACTCTCCCTCCCCTTCCTCCTCCACCACCCCTACCTTTCCTCTCTCTCCCTTACTCTTTTACCCTCCTCCCTCCCCTCCCTCCCTCCTCTCCCCCCCTCCCTCCAATCTCCCTCCCCTCCTCTCCCCCCCTCCCTCAATCTCCCCTCCCTCCTCTCCCCCCCTCCCCTCCAATCTCCTCCCTCCTCTCCCCTCCCCTCATCTCTCCTCCCTCCCTCTCCCCTCCCTCAATCTCCCTCCCCTCCTCTCCCCCTCCCTCAATCTCCTCCCTCCTCTCCCCCCTCCCTCAATCTCCCCCTCCCTCCTCTCCCCTCCCTCAATCTCCCTCCCTCCCTCTCCCCCCTCCCTCATCTCCCTCCCTCCTCTCCCCCTCCCTCCCACTCTCCCTCCCTCACTCTCCCCCCCCTCCCTCAATCTCCTCCCTCCCTCTCCCCTCCCTCCTCAATCTCCTCCTCCTCTCCCCCCTCCTCAACCTCCCTCCCTCACTCTCCCCCCTCCCTCCAACCTCCCTCCCTCCACTCTCCCCCTCCCCTCCTCTCCCCCCCTCCCTCCTCTCCCCCCCCTCCCTCAATCTCCCCTCCTCCACTCTCCCTCCCTCCCTCCTCCCAGAATAGCGTTCACAGTATCCTTACTTGTGGTTACTTTCTGGAAGGAGGCTAACTCTGCTGGCTGATAGATTCCTCAGTTGTGTGTGTGTGTGTGTGTGTGTGTGTGTGTGTGTGGTGTGTGTGCATACGATAATTCAGTGCTATCCCGTAGTCAACATTGTCTCATGCAGCATTTAAAGGGTGTGGAGTGCAGTGGGGTGTGGGTCACAGTGTGGTGTGGTCTGGTCAGGGTGTGGGTCACAGTGGGGTGTGGGTCACAGTGCAGGTGTGGGGTCACAGTGCAGGGGTGTGGTCACAGTGTGAGGGGTGTGGTCTGCAGTGTGGGGTGTGGGGTGCAGTGCGGGGTGGAGGTCACTGTGCAGGGGTGTGGGTCACAGTGTGGTGTGGGTCTGGTGTGGGGTGTGGTTACAGTGCATGGGTGTGGGTCACAGTGCAGGGTGTGGGTCTGCAGTGTGTGGCGTGTGGGTCTGGGTGCAGGGGTGTGGGTCACAGTGTGGGTGTGGGTCACAGTGCCGGGTGTGGGGCAGCACACACAGGGGGGGGGTAATCTGCAGGGCGTGTGGGGAAGTCACTGTTCTCACTGCTCAAAGACAAACATAATCGCGGGCATTAACTGATGGTACAACACTTCATTCATCCGCTTCAGTAGTGTTGCTTCCCATTCATCCGCTTCAGTAGTATTGTTCCCCTCATTCACCCTTCAGTAGTGTTGCTTCCTCATTCATCCGCTTCAGTAGTGTTGTTCCCCTCATTCACCCGCTTCAGTAGTGTTGCTTCCTCATTCATCCGCTTCAGTAGTGTTGTTCCTCTCATTCACCCCTTCAGTAGTGTTGCTTCCTCATTCATCCGCTTCAGTAGTGTTGTTCCTCTCATTCACCCTTCAGTAGTGTTGCTTCCTCATTCATCCGCTTCAGTAGTGTTGTTCCTCTCATTCACCCGCTTCAGTATGTGTTGCTTCCTCATTCATCTGCTTCAGTGTTATTTTGCTTCCTCATTCACCCGCTTCACTAGTGTTGCTTCCTCATTCATCCGCTTCATTAGTGTTGTTGCTTCCTCATTCACCTTCAGTAGTGTTGTTCCTGCTCATTCATCGCTTCAGTAGTGTTGCTTCCTCATTCATCCGCTTCAGTGATGTTGTTCCTCTCATTCATCCGCTTCAGTAGTGTTGCTTCCTCATTCATCCGCTTCAGTAGTGTTGCTTCCTCATTCATCCGCTTCAGTAGTGTTGCTTCTCATTCATCCGCTTCGTAGTGTTGTTCGCTCATTTATTCGCTTCAGTAGTGTTGCTTCCTCATTCATCCGCTTCATTAGCGTTGTTGCTTCCTCATTCAGCTTCAGTAGTGTTGTTTCCTCATTCATCCGCTTCATTAGTGTTGTTGCTTCCTCATTCACCGCTTCAGTAGTGTTGTTCCCGCTCATTCATCCGCTTCAGTAGTGTTGCCTCTCATTCATCCGCTTCAGTAGTGTTGTTCGCTCATTCATCCGCTTCAATAGTGTTGTTTCCTCCATTCATCCGCTTCAGTAGTGTTGCTTCCTCATTCACCCGCTTCAGTAGTGTTGTTCCCGCTCATTCATCCGCTTCAGTAGTGTTGCTTCCTCATTCATCCGCTTCAGTAGTGTTTGCTTCCTCATTCATCCGCTTCAGTAGTGTTGTTCCCCTCATTTATTCGCTTCAGTAGTGTTGCTTCTCTTTCATCCGCTTCGTAGCGTTGGCCTTCCTCATTCACCCGCTTCACTAGTGTTGCTTCCTCATTCATCCCTTCATTCATTATTTGCTTCCTCATTCACCCGCTTCGTAGTGTTGTTCCCGCTCATTCATCCGCTTCAGTAGTGTTGCTTCTCATTCATCCGCTTCAGTAGTGTTGTTTCCTCTCATTCATCCGCTTCAGTAGTGTTGCTTCCTCATTCATCCGCTTCAGTAGTGTTGCTTCCTCATTCATCCGCTTCAGTAGTGTTGCTTCCTCATTCATCCGCTTCAGTAGTGTTGTTCCGCTCATTTATTCGCTTCAGTAGTGTTGCTTCATTCATCCGTTCATTAGCGTTGTTGCTTCCTCATTCACCCGCTTCAGTAGTGTTGCTTCCTCATTCACCGCTTCAGTAGTGTTGTTCCTTTCATTTATTCGCTTCAGTAGTGTTGCTTCCTCATTCATCCGCTTCAGTAGTGTTGTTGCTTCCTCATTCACCCTCTTCCTTAGTGTTGCTTCCTCATTCATCCGCTTCAGTAGTGTTGTTCCCTCTCATTCATCCGCTTCAATAGTGTTTGTCCCTCTCATTCACCCGCTTCAGTAGTGTTGCTTCCTCATTCACCCGCTTCAGTAGTGTTGCTTCCTTATTCACCCTCTTCAATACGTATGTTAACTTGTATCTGAAACAAACAAAAAATCATAATATTTGGCAGTGATTTTAACATACGACCCCTTGTAGTAACTAGGGACGAAGTGTAAGATATTTGGCAAACTTCTAAATTGTCAATAACACTTCAATTATTATTATTTTTTTTTAAGTTTAAAGTAATAACCATAATTGGTATCTGTAGGATGCTTGTAAAGGCATTAATGGCGCGAGTCAATTTTTTATTTATTTTTTAATTTCTTTTAATTTTGTATTTTTAGGCGGATAATTTCGTAACCTGGACGATAATAATGTGGAAAGTGTGTGTGTGTCATGGGAAGGTTGGTCCTCTGCTTCTCTGATCTTAATTAAAACACACACACACACACACACACACACACACACACACACACACACACACACTTTTTTCCCTGCTTGACTTTTAAAGTGAATTCGGAAATTAAGGAACCATGGTGGAGGAGTTTTTATTTTCCTCTCAACTCGGTAGGGAGAACTAACCTAACCTAACCTAACCTAAAAAACATTATGAGAGGTCTATCTTGGTCAGACTATTTTTTTGGGGGGTGGGGGCAGAATTCATTAGATAAAGGTAAATAAAACAGTGTGTGTGAGATTTGCTAACAAAACTCCTTGACATATTTGTAATAACTTAAACAACTTTCAACCTGTGCCGCCACGATCCTCTACGTCTTATGTTTATTGCTGTAGCTCAGGTTAGGTTAGGTTAGGTTAGGTTAGGTTAGGTTAGGTTAAGTTCATTGGTATTTCGATAAAAAAATTAAAAGTGTGAATATGATGCCTTACACTTTTTCACACATTTCTTAATTTTATTTAGTTTGTGTGTGTGTGTGTGTGTGTGTGTGTTCTCGTTATTGTTCATTTCTTTCCCATCTGCTCTTATTATCGTGTTTTTTTGTTCTTCCTATTTCCCTCCTCCTCCCCTTTCCTCTGCCTTTTTCCCCCACTTCCTACAAGGGACGCCCGGGTTCCTGTCTTGTTTATTATTGTCGTGGGCCGCTGTGTTTACTTCTCTCCTGCTGCTTTGCTTATGCAGTATTACCAGAAGCTCTTATTAATCTTCTTATTTATTATGTCATTCCTGTGTAGTTTTCATTTATTCTTTGTCTTTTGTTTCAGTATTTCTCTTTATTTTGTTGTCTATAATCTTTTATTTATCTGTTGTTTTTGTTATATCAATTGAATGTAAACTAGTGCGCACCGAGGCATCATATAGTATATATTTTAACAAAAAAGATTAATCCATAGGTAGATGAACTTTCACTTAGTAATTTGAATTATTTAGAAGAACGTACGTGTATAAATTAACGTACTGTACGTGTATAGCATAACGTACGTATCTAGTATAGAATAACGTGAAAAGTAGTAGTAGTAGTAGTGCATTCAGGAGATTTGTTTTGGTCGTATGCCAGGTCGTGACACTCTTAAGGTCTTGTTCCCAGGCTTCTCACACTCACCTGCAATGAAGTTTACAGGAGAGTTACTGTATAATAAAACCAGATTTTATTACATTACAAATCAGAATAATTATATGTGTTGCTGTGTGTAAGTAGTATAATAATTGAGTGAAGTTTAGACGAACTTAGAGTGATTACAGTTTATTAGGAGTGATTGATTACTGTATCTTTTATGGATTTATGTTACAGGTGGTGTACGGTCTCAACACGCGCGGGGAGGAACTGGAGGTACAGCTGGCTACGGTGAAGGAGACGGAGGAGAGTCTTAGGACAGCCAACACAGAACTCCAGCACCGCGCCAACCACTACAAGACCAAGGTTAGTGGTCCTCATGTCCTCATACCCAGATTTTGATGTCCTATGTCAGTATTGAGATAACATGTCCTATAAGCCACTTGTTCTAACCACTTAGTCACGAAAATTAAGTGATACAAGTGTACATTACAGGTTTAATCAGCATTTGAAGTTGTAGACACACTTGGTATAAAAGAATTGTCGTAAGTCATTCTGAATCTGACGAATCGCTTAAATTAAATAGAAATGCTGAGTTAAAATGTCTGAGTGAGTTACCAAGACCATTACTGCATTGTGAAGGGCTATTGTAAACGACTAGTGTTTTCCATTCTTGGAGTTAACATCTTGAGTGCTAGAGTGTGGTGTGAGGAGGAGGGTGTGTTGTGAGGGGGAGGGTGTGGTGTGAGGGGCAGGGTGTGTTGTGAGGGGGAGGGTGTGGTGTAAGGGGGAGGGTGTGGTGTAAAGGGGAGGGTGTGGTATAAGGGAGGGGAGATGTAACTAGACACCCCGTAAGGAAGGCGCCAGTGCCACCGACCCGAGGGGGAAGACATAGCCCCAAGGGTGGGGTGCAGGGATTGAATTGTAACAGTTTATTTAGCCAGAAAAATACAGATACAGAGTGGATAATAATAACAATATTAACATGGCTGAGCCAGTTGAGAACCTGAGCTCTCTTTGAGGCACCTGATATATACTATACATTTATCTCAAGGAAGTATTATGTAACATTTAGTATCATCTGGAATAGTACAATAGCATGGTAGTAATAAGTACATCTCATAGTGTTACCACGGTTATCACTTCAATATTTATTTATTTTATTATTTATTATTTTAATTTATTTTTTTTGTTTTTTATTTTTTTATTTTTTTATTTATACATACATATACACATACCTATACATACATACACACACACACACACATATATATATATATATATATATATATATATATATATATATATATATATATATATATATATATATATATATATATATATATATATATATATATATATATATACACACACACACACACACACATACAGACACATACATACACATATACATATAAATTAGAGAGGAATTTAAAAACAAGTATAATGGGGGAGCAGTACAACCTGGGTTGTGCTGTAATAAGGTTGAACAAGAGGACAGAGCTTTCACTATTATGTCTAGTTGGCAATTATGTGTATTGCAATGGTAATTACTTATTTATTTACATGATAATTTCCGATAAAACGGATTTGGTGGTACAATAAAAGCAGGTACTGTAAATATAGTAAGTGTTACAAGAAATATTAATACTTCGACAAAAGATATTTCTTTAGAGATGATTTAAAGGAAGGGAGCGTAGTCTTTGCTCGGATGGGTGGGGGTAAGTTGTTCCATACCTTCACACCATGATATTTTATGGAGGTCTGGGACTGAAAGGAGCTCACGGGAGGTGGTCTTAGTAGCTCTGGGTGCCTAAGTTGTATCTCTGATTATTCCGGAACTGGAAGTAATTATTGTCAAGCAAGTGATTGATAGATTTGTAAGTGTTAATATCTTCGAATTTTAATAATTTCAATATAGCAAATTTTTCGTTTGTGTGATCTGTTTTTTTCAAGTTGGTCATTGTCCGTACAACTCTCTTTTGTGCAGTAACCAGAGATTGTGTTTTTGAAGAGCCAGAGGCCCCCCATAGTGTGTGACAGTGTATCAGGTGTTGGTAAACAAGATCATGATAGATTTCTTTCATTGCTGTGAGAGTGAGTGACTGTCGAGTTTGATACATGATACCGCACTGTTTATTGATTTTACTGTGAATGGCTTGTATGTGGTTTCTCCAGTTATGTTTCTCATCAACAATAACTCCCAGGAATTTAGTATTTTGTTCGCGTTTGAGGACTATATTACCAAGGTACAGGGGGTGGGAGGGGAAGGTAAGGGGGAGGTAGGGGAGGATATGGACGGAGGTAGGGGGAGGATATGGAAGTATGGGGAGGATATGGAGGGGTGAGACGTGCATTAGCCTCTCCTCCCCTCCCACTTCCCTCCCATCTCTTCTCCCACTCCCCCTCCCACTCCCCTTTCCTCCCACTCCCTCCCCACTCCCTTCCTCTCCCACTCCCCACTACCATAACATCAACAAAACTCGAAGGTACTGAATCACTCTCACTTAGTCTTTTCTAGTGGATATTTATGAGTGATTCACAGTGACCCCAGATTACCACATCGTTCACTTAAACAACCTTGACCATAACGATAACATGGACAGATTAAATAACTGTGGGGGTGGGGGGGGTGGAGGTGAGTGGGAAATGTGTGGGGAGAGTGGGAGATGCAGAGTGGGATTTGGTTAGGTTAGGTTGTAAAAAAAAAAAAAAAGTGCCCGAATATATATTGTGGTGGGCGAGACACTGAGACGAGCATCCGGGAGCATCAGAGTAGGAGGAGAGAGAGGGAGAAGGACAGAGGGAAAGAGACAGGGGAGGCAAGGAAAGAAGAAGTGGAAAGAGGGAAGGAACGAGAGGGTAGATAACGGAAGGAATAAGGGAGAGGATTGAGAAGGAGAGAACAGTGAGGGAGGGTAGTGAACGGAAGGAAGGGTGTCGGAGCGATATTGTTGTTTCTGAGATGAAGAAAACAATTGGAGGGCGTGAGGAAGGGAGTAGGTCACCCCCTGTGTAAAGCGACCCCGTTCAGGTGTTGATGTTACGTTCTTGTTGATTTTGAATTCAAGTGGGATTTTCTCCATTAACTTTAACAAAATTAAAATGAGAACAACTAAGAAAAAGATGTTCAAAGGTGATTCAAAATACTGTGTTCACTTTATGATTCGTGGCTCGAAATGTTCGTCAAATATTGGGAGTTCGAGGTGCGCGGGTAATATCCGAAACATCAACACAACTCAGTCATGAAGCTGGAGGGGGAGGGCGGGCGTGTGTTGTCAGGGAGGCGGTCAGCTGTGTTGTGTTTACCCATCCTCCCCCCACCACAAAACAGATGATTGTGATTCTAACGTTACTGACTACCGTAGAAGCTCCTCCACTAATGAACCACTGCTGGTGAGGCTTATTGTTGGGTTGTTTTCAGTCATATAAGACCTTGGCACACCCAACAAAACTCCCTGGACCCGTGTTTTTTTTATGATCTACTTATATAAAATGTTTCCTAAAAAAGAAAGAACTCTGGCAGATATAAATTGTCATTGTACGCGATGAAGTAGTGTTTATTTTCAGTTGTGTTTTATAAGTCTTCTCTTACTATTGATGTTTGAGTCACGTCTAAATTATCACAACACACTTGGTTTTTGATTACTTTAGCATTGCTGCCGAGATGAACTATACCCACAGCTGCTCTAACAACGGGTTGGGTAACTCTCTACACAAAACTGCACGCATATATGAATAGGTAATAAGAGTGTGATAGATGTTTTATTAAGATGCTGAAGCAGAGAGTTGACACTTGATGAATCCATTTCTTTCAATAAACATATCATGGGAGGTACTTTGGTTAGGTTAGGTTAGGTTAGGTTATCTGTTGTTGACTTGTTGTGGACGTGTATTGTGATGGATGAGGCACTGGTGTTATTGTGTTGTGTCACTGACTACTCCTGGCAGCTGACGTGTGAGAGCTACACACACACACACACACACACAATATATATATATATATATATATATATATATATATATATATATATATATATATATATATATATATATATATATATATATATATATATATATATATATATATATAAATGGGGATGATCGAAAAGAGTGAAAATAAAATGTGAATGAAATACAGTACAAAACGCTTGAATGAAGAGAGAGAGAAAGACGAAAATGGACGATTGGAAAAAAAACGTTAAAAAGGAAAATTGGAAAGTGATTAATGGAGAGGAAATAAAAAAGAAAAACAAAATGCAAATATCAGGAGTTCCTCACCAAGTGATTACCAACCATATCAGCGCTACCATTAGAAAGGTCAGAGAAACTAGCAGGTACCTTAGTGTTTTCTCCTCGTTTGGCTTGAGGCGGTAAAACACTTTATCGTCTCCATTAAAGGCGTGAAGGATTCCAGTCTCATGGGGGCCGGGGCCACCACCCTCGTCGCTGTCATGGGAAGTGGAGCTGTCATCTTCGTCACTTTCACTCTCATGGGAGGTGGAGTCGTCTTGCAGGACTTCATCACTATCATGGAAGGTGGAGGCGTCATGCAGGACTTCTTCACTATCATGGAAGGTGGAGTCGTCATGCAGGACTTCTTCACTATCATGGGAGGTGGAGGCGTCATGCAGGACTTCTTCACTATCATGGAAGGTGGAATCGTCTTGCGTCATGGAAGGTGGAGTCGTCTTGCAGGACTTCTTCACTATCATGGAAGGTGGAGCGTCTTGGATGGTCGTCGTGCAGCTTCTTCTTGAGGAAGGTGGAAGGCGTCTTGCAGGACTTCTTCACTATCATGGAGGTGGAGGCGTCATGCAGGACTTCTTCACTATCATGGAAGGTGGAGGCGTCTTGCAGGACTTCTTCACTATCATGGAAGGTGGAGGCGTCATGCAGGACTTCTTCACTATCATGGAAGGTGGAGTCGTCATGCAGGACTTCTTCACTATCATGGAAGGTGGAGGCTCTGCAGGACTTCTTCACTATCATGGAAGGTGGAGGCGTCTTGCAGGACTTATCACTATCATGGAAGGTGGAGGCGCATGCAGGACTTCTTCACTATCATGGAAGGTGGAGCGTCATGCAGGACTTCTTCACTATCATGGAAGGTGGAGGCGTCATGCAGGACTTCTTCACTATCATGGAAGGTGGAGTCGTCTTGCAGGACTTCATCACTATCATGGAAGGTGGAGTCGTCATGCAGGACTTCTTCACTATCATGGAAGGTGGAGTCTTGCAGACTTCACTATCATGGAAGGTGGAGGCGTCTTGCAAGACTTCTTCACTATCATGGAAGGTGGAGGCGTCAGCAGGACTTCTTCACTATCATGGAAGGTGGAGTCGTCATGCGACTTCTTCACTATCATGGAAGGTGGAGGCGTCATGCAGGACTTCTTCACTATCATGGAAGGTGGAGGCGTCTTGCAGGACTTCTTCACTATCATGGAAGGTGGAGGCGTCATGCAGGACTTCTTCACTATCATGGAAGGTGGAGGCGTCTTGCAGGACTTCTTCACTATCATGGAAGGTGGAGGCGTCATGCAGGACTTCTTCACTATCATGGAAGGTGGAGGCGTCTTGCAGGACTTCTTCACTATCATGGAAGGTGGAGGCGTCTTGCAAGACTTCTTCACTATCATGGAAGGTGGAGGCGTCATGCAGGACTTCTTCACTATCATGGAAGGTGGAGGCGTCTTGCAGGACTTCTTCACTATCATAGAAGGTGAAGTCGTCATGCAGGACTTCTTCACTATCATGGAAGGTGGAGGCGTCTTGCAGGACTTCTTCACTATCATGGGAGGTGGAGGCGTCTTGCTGGACTTCTTCACTATCATGGGAGGCGAGTTGCCCACTATCTGGGGGGTTGGGTGTCTTTATCGTGGGTTCATGGTCAAGTGGTGGGGGAATTATATCACAGGGGACGGAGGAATCCTGAACCCACTTCCGAGAAAAAATAATATGACTGTAAAGAATATTTTTGTCGTCAAAACATTCATAAGTTCCTGAAGTAATTAAGCGGAGAAATCTGCCCAGTGGAACACGGAATTTATATAAAGTTTTTGTTGTGCTGCCCCATTTGAATGACACCCAGTTGTTGGGACTTATCTTATCTAATAGAGGGATGTGGTTAGTTCCGGTCAGGATGTATTTACCTTCAACACGTCCAGCACCGTCCTGGGCCCACTGCTCTTTACCCAAGCGGCAGTGAACCAACAATTAATGCCTTTTATATAAACCACATAACCTGGGGCTATATATCTCCACATACAGATGTTCTGGGCGCCTGTTTCTTTCAGGCAGACTGACGTACCCACAACACAATTACAAGACCTTTTGGGTCATAGTTTTATATTTATAAAATAACGAGAGTACTGTTTTCTCAACACTGGCCTGATGAAGTTAAACAATAAATAATTAATTCGCTTAGAACACTGGCGACACAGATAATGATAGTTCAAGTGTTGTAGTGAACATGTTGAACAAGTATTGTAGTTAATATGTAGAACGATATTGTATTAGTGAACGTGTGCTAAGAGTGTTGTAGTGAACATGATTGAAGAGAGAAAATTTTAATTGTTATTGGAATGAAGTACAAAAGGCATGATTGATGAAAAAGAAGAACGGAAATGGACGATTGTAAAAAAAAGACATAAAGAGAAACTGTGTGAAAGATTTTTGGATTGGAAATACCGTAACAAAAATACCATCACGCGGCTCATCCCCAGAAGATCATATACAAAGGTCCTATAATTATAATTATAGGACCTTTGTATATTATCGGCAGTGGAGAGATAGAAAACGGGAGTCAACGAAATTCGTGAAGCTCTCTGTTTTTCGTGGAAATACAGCTGTTGCAGCTGTCTTTTATCACAAAGTCCATGACGTCATAGTGTACGAGTAGGTGTAAAGGAATTTTCTGGTGGTGGTGGACTTTGCCAGGTTTTTTTCGGAAAACTTGGGGCATTGGTCATCCACCTCGTCAAGCCGAGAACACCATATGCAAGTGACATGGTAAAACACCCGAAATGGGGACGTACACACCCCCTTAAAGAAGAAAAAACTCTATCGGACTGTTGTTTTCAGGTAAGCCTGAATATGAAAATGTATGTAAGGTAATATTTGACATACTGAAAATAAAACAGTAACACATAGTTGGCTTTCATCTCTTAAGAAACAATAAGGTGGTGGTGAAATTTGGGGAAAACACTGTTTTTGAAAATTTTTGTGAAGAATATGAAGAAAAAACTGCCTGAACTGCTGGTGGCGTGGCTAAACTAGCCATTACGGCCATTTGTAGTCATTCATTTCCAACGTGACTATCCTGCACCGGCATCAGTGTTTTCAGTTGTGAGATGAATCTCGCGGGGGGAGGACTTGGTTAACGGTGGAGTGTGTTATTACGTGAAGAGATGATGATAACAAACGTATACGTGAGTCGTCGATTGAACGTCTCTGCTTAAGTAGTATTAAGGTTGGTGTCTCGAGTAATTATCTTGTATGATAGAATTTTATGTTTTAGTTTATTTTGGGGCGGGATATGGCCTAACCTAATCGATTCCCCGGATGACGGAAATTATAATATTACCCAATGAAGTGTCGAAGGCTAGGAGGGCATGGTCTAGCTTCTGTTTCTGAAGTGAATTCATTCACTGTTTTAGTTGCTTCCACGACAGACTTCATTATTTTTTGCGTGCTCTTGATACCTAACCTAACCAAACTAAGCTGAAGCAAACCAATCACACACTGCGTACAGAGAGAGGTAGTAGTGCCGTCACCTTTGCATTGTAACGGTAACCGCCCATCAACTTGGGTTCAATCAACGCCTCGTTCTGTAGATTATGGTGATTGACAAGTGACAATCTTGTTCTGTATTGCTTATCTCAAAGACCTGGGTCCGGCGGTCAAACTTTGAAATGAAGCGAGTTGCGAAAATAATACCGAGAAACTTGGCTTCCCACTAACCAACGGGGATCTATAGAAGTGAAGTTGACTGATACTAGGTTAGGTCAGGTGAGGTCAGGGCAGGTTAGGTTAGGTTAGGTTAGGTCAGGTCAGGTTAGGTTAGGTTAGGTTAGGTCAGGTCAGGTCAGGTCAGGTCAGGTCTAGCTCTGATAATATATTTACAATATCGTCGCCCTAGTGTACCCGTCAGCCATTTATTGTTGACATAACGTTCATGCAATCCCTCTATTGATGACGTTCAAAACAGCTAACTCGGGTAGAGAAAGAGTCTGTTACAAGGTTGAGGTTGTCTTTCGAGAGACGACTTGACAGGCATTAGGCAGATTAAGATATTGAGGACCAACAACCCTTCCCTCCCCCCCCCCCGTCCACTCAGCAAACACTAGACAAACATGATACAATTTTAGACAGACACGTCACATTGATTGGACGGATCCTGGGAAGTTTGGCGGCAGCGTGTGTAAGTGACGCAGGGATCATACTAACCTTATTACAGTACTTTAGTAACTTTCCTAACTTGTTAAACTTTCATGTAGTTCCACCCGCGTGTAGTTTGATTAATTGTGCCTGTCAACACCTGCCATTGCGTATTTTGCTAAGCCTTTTTCATTATAAAGGAGGTCCTGGTGGTAATACACGTGTGACGCCATTGCCTTTGTATGTAAACCTAACCTAACCTAACCCAGCAAGGACGTCATGTTAGGTTTAGGCACCATCCGACTTCCTCAAAACATTGTTCTAAAGCGTTTGATCAACATTGGAAATCACACATCACGGGATGGTTCATTTGTGGAGCATAACACAGGAAAATGATGAGCGTTTCCGGTGACTCAGTGCGGTAGATAAGAGCATTTGTAGCTGAAGTTTAGTGTCTTAGATTATATTATATCACTGACTACCTCCTTGAAGGGGAAGGACGATTTATACCAATATTTTAATGTTATACGATTTGATATAATTGTAAGAAATGTCAATTATCTTATCTATTTTCTCTTATTTTTTCATTATGATTATACGGTAATTGTTATTGTGGCAATATAGAATGCTTGGTTGGGTTAGAGAGAACCAGTTCAGAAGTTAACTAGTAATTTGGATCAGTATTTCAGGGTCAGACATATTTGAATACATTGTTTATTGTGCTGGCGAATATTTTGTATAATCTGCAAATTATAATACTGTATATAATTAATCAGTAGTATTGCCCAATGAAACGAAATGGTTACGACTGCTGGTCACAACACATTACTGGTGATTAGGAGATAAAGATGTACTGTATGTCCGTTGATTTATGTGTTTTAGTGATAATCGGTGGCGGGCAGAGTACACATAAACGTATAAGGTTTCTACTTAATGTGATACTCACTTGAATAACGCAGCTTAGTTCTGGTCACCGTACTACAGAATGGATAAAGAGTCCCTGGAAAGAAATCAGAGGAGAATGACAAGACTAATCCCGGGCATAAGGAACCTTGAGTACAGAGACAGATTAAACTTAGTTACAGCATCTTAATTTGCACTCCCTCGAGAGACTTAGGGTGAGGGACGATATGATAGAGGGTTTATAAATGGAAGTCAGGGCTAAGCAAAGATGATATAACAAAGGTACTCAAACTATCCAACCAGGAGCGAACTCGTAACAATGGTTTTAAATTAGACAAATTTAGATTTAGATGCGATATAGGTTAACATTGGTTTGGAAATAGAGTAGTGGATGAGTGGAACAAGTTACCAAACGTCATTAACTCGAATACGCTGGAAAGCTTCAAACATAGGTTGGGTGAATATATGAGCGATAGGGGGTTGGGTGTAAACTGGACTGCCCAGTATGAGCCAATAGGCCCGCTGCAGTTTCCTCCATTCTTATGTTTTTTGGTGTATTATATATTTTACAACTGGTTCATAAGAAGAAAACCTAACCTAACTTAACTATGTATTTTAAAATTAATTAGGCTAAAATTTTGAGTTTTGTTGGTTCATTTTGCTTCTTTTATAATAACTATGAGGTAACTTTAATGTATCTTTATATCACTGGATGAAAACACTTCGTCTCGGAGCAGAAACTTAACTTGAGCAAAATTCCTAAAATATTCCTTGTGTTTCCCTTAAGTAATTCTCAGTAAAAACACCTAAACCCTTTTATTAATCCTATGTGTTATCCTTGGTAAATATTTATATGTGTATGTTAGTACTGTATGAACTTTTTGTTATATAAATTACAATAAAATCAAAACTGTTATATTATATAATAGTTATCCTTATAAACCCAATTTTCTTTACTTATACCTGGTTACGGTTTCTTTGACAGTATGAATCCGAGATTGGGAAACTGCGGGAGATGGAGGCCCAAGCAGGACAAGTTCACTATTGGAAAATGGAGTGTGAAAACCTCAAGAGACGGTGAGTGTCAGTCAGTTTAGATGGTTTTATACTACGTGTGTCCTTACCTGCTTCTGTTGGGTCCTTTGGTAATACTTTAAAACAGCTGCGCGGCTTAACTAGTAACTCGAGGAATATTTTCTATGGAAATACATGCTTCTTATTAAATGGCAATATTTGTTTCGTATTATTATTTTTACGACTTTCTCAGACCAGAAAGTTTTACGTATTCCATTTCGTCGTCAGTTTTCAAGTAACACTTCTAATACCATAGTTGACGAGGTAGACTAGACCTGGTGACCAAATGCTCCTAATAACTGGTGTGAGGATTGACTCTACTAGCCAATAGACCTAACAAGACCGAGGGCTATTATTTATCATCAATTAGGACATTTTTCTTTAAATAGTCGGTAGCTGAGTGATAACACCGCCGTCTCTTAACTCTCTAGGCTGACGAAACGAACCTCACTGATTGGACGGTGATTGGATGGTTATTTTCTGTTTATGGCTCTAATGATTTTATCCCGAAATGATTTATGATTACTTTCGTCAAATCAAAAACTCATGCGGGCCAACATAACGCCAGGTGTAGTGTGCCGTAAAAAACAATTAATGAAACAGTCAGTCAGTCAGTCGATTGGGCCAAAATGAAGCGGTGTTGATGACCAGTAATTATGGAATGCTTTTCAATTGTCGTTCTGGATGACCCCGCCAGTACGGGTCATGTGGTACTGGTGTTGTAACTACTGGTGATGTACTGTATTGTTTTCCCGGTGTTGTAACTGGTGGTGTGTGACAGTGGTGGTGAGAGTAGCGGAATGTTGCCAGAAACTGACCATATATCACCCTCAGACAGTTCACCAGGCTATAGTATGACTCTCCCTCACCCTCAGACAGTTCACCAGACTGTAGTGTGACTCTCCCTCACCCTCAGACAGTTCACCAGGCTATAGTGTGACTCTCCCTCACCCTCAGACAGTTCACCAGGCTGTAGTGTGACTCACCCTCAGACAGTTCACCAGGCTAGTGTGACTCTCCCTCACCCTCAGACAGTTCACCAGGCTGGTGTGACTCTCCCTCACCCTCAGACAGTTCACCAGGCTGTGTGACTCTCCCTCACCCTCAGACAGTTCACCAGCTAGTGTGACTCTCCCTCACCCTCAGACAGTTCACCAGGCTGTAGTGTGACTCTCTCCTCACCCTCAGACAGTTCACCAGGCTATAGTGTGACTCTCCCTCACCCTCAGACAGTTCACCAGGCTGTAGTGTGACTCTCCCTCACCCTCAGACAGTTCACCAGGCTGTAGTGTGACTCTCCCTCACCCTCAGACAGTTCACCAGGCTGTAGTGTGACTCTCCCTCACCCCAGACAGTTCACCAGGCTATAGTGTGACTCTCCCTCACGCTCAGACAGTTCACCAGTGACTCCCTCACCCTCAGACAGTTAGTGTGACTCTCCCTCACCCTCAGACAGTTCACCAGGCTATAGTGTGACTCCTCACCCTCAGACAGTTCACCAGGCTGTGTGTGACTCACCCTCAGACAGTTCACCAGGCTATGGTGTGACTCTCTCACCTCAGACAGTTCACCAGGCTGTAGTGTGACTCTCCCTCACCCTCAGACAGTTCACCAGGCTATAGTGTGACTCTCCCTCACCCTCAGACAGTTCACCAGGCTGTAGTGTGACTCTCCCTCACCCTCATACAGTTCACCAGGCTATAGTGTGACTCTCCCTCACCCTCAGACAGTTCACCAGGCTGTAGTGTGACTCTCCCTCACCCTCATACAGTTCACCAGGCTATAGTGTGACTCTCCCTCACCCTCATACAGTTCACCAGGCTGTAGTGTGACCTCCCTCACCTCATACAGTTCACCAGGCTGTAGTGTGACTCTCCCTCACCCCCCCCCCCAGCCTCTTGTAAAGCTGTCGTAATTTGTCACGGTAACTGCAGATGGACCAGCCCCTAACAGATGATCGAAGGACTTAAGATGGGAATGGCGCCGGAACTCTCTCGTGAGTCCTGCTGATCCCGGTAATATATATGAAATTTAGACGTGTAGTAATAGTTATTGGTGACTCTGGGTAATGGAATTATTTGATATTGAATAATCTGCCTTTGAACTCTTCCAAATAATATATCGTGTTTATTTTATTTAATATTCTCTACAAACGCCATTTATTCCTTACTGGTAATATCTGGCAGTCCGGTGCCTGCTGGAGCCCTGTCGAGGGTGATATACCGAACGATTGTTATGGCCAGTGTCTAGAGTCACCCCCCACCTCTCCCCATGATCCCCCTCCCTTCCCGCCCCATGACCTCCTCCTCCCCATGACCCCTACTCCTCCCCATGACCCCTGCCCCTCCCCCACCCCCTCCTTTCCCATGGACCCTCCCCACCTTGGACCTCCCCACCCCATGGACCCCTCCCCCCCCATGGACCCCTCCCCACCCCATGGACCCTCCCCACCCCATGGACCCCTCCCCACCCCATCCCCACCCCATGGACCCCTCCCCACCCCATGGACTCCTTCCCATCCCTATGACCCCTGTTCCCAGATGGCTAACCAATAATCCGCGCCCGAAACATCCCTCAAATCTCTGTTTTCCGGGATATGCGTTTGGAAAAGTTTGAGCGATGATTTTTTGGCCACGAGTAATCCGACGGTGCCACATGAGCAAGGGAGGCAAGGTAGGAGGTAACATCACACCTGGAGGCGACTGTAACTTTGTTCCTTACCTGTGATACTAATAGTTTGGACGACACCTGGACAAGTTATTCATTTAGTACAGTATTATTCTACACGTCTAGGAGTTTGTACTTGATTTATTTAAAATAATTTGTCTCTTATTATTAATCCCATCACCCACCCCGCAGGCTGGAGCTAGAGGGCGGCATTATGGGCGGCCCAGACGCGCGGGCGGCAGTAGCGGCCGCCCGGGAGGACACTGACAGAGCACTCAGGAGGGAGAAGGCCATCTCTTACGACCTGGAGCAGGCGAGGCAGGCCATCACCAACCTCAAGGTAGGTTACCCGGATCACCAACCTCAAAGCAGGTCATCATAATTTATGTATATTGTATCATTTTATCATGGAAACAAAACACACTATCAATGACCAAATTATCCAAATTAATATGAATATGTATGAATATAATCATACGGTGTCCATAATTACTGTTCCACATGTACGGAGTGTCGTGTACAGTATATATGTACGCTTAGAAACCTTACATGTCTTCTACGTCTATTATTATATACTTGCTATTGTTTTTGTACGTATTTACTTACTTGATCTAGATTAAACAATAGAGTATTTTCTTTTATTACCAGAGCTACAACAAGGTTCCTATGGCTTGAATAATCTTTGTGGTGACAGCTTCTAGTCGGTAACATTTTAAGTGGGTTCAGTGACTCACGTAGGAAGACTCACATGAATACAGACACAAAACAAACAGAAAATAGATTAAAATACATATTGAGAGGAAGGAAAAGCGGTGGTTGGAATGTGTTTTGGGGAAATATGTAGATTTTGGATTCACTGGTACATAAGGCAGGTTAGCAGTAAGTCGGAACACACACACACACACACACACACACACACACACACACTACTCCACCATAGCTCACATTCAGCCTGACATGCGCTATGCACTTTGAACTCCTCGTGATCCATTGAATGCTGATAGTGTGTTGATGGTGCATGACAGGTTAAACTTAACGTGATCTTTTACTGTCTTGGAACTGTAGCTTAACTTACTGTGTCAAGACTGGGACGTGGTATGACTTTGTGGGGGGCTGTCGTAGTTAGTAAGGTGACCATAAGGCTTCTCAAGGGTGATGGTCATAGTTACACACCGATCTGCCACAACGCAACCCAACAAAACCGAACCCAACCCAACCCAACCCAACCCAACGCCGGTATTCAACTGGGTTAAATTATCGTGTTAGATGATGACTGTTTCATATGACAATTAGCGATACCTAAAGCTGAGGTTCGTGTGATTTGTTCGGTCTCCATGTATGGATGTATGTATTTATGTATGTATGTATGTATGTATGTATGTATGTATGTATGTATGTATGTATGTATGTGTGTGTTTATTTTTGTGTGGATGTATGTATGTATGTATGTATGTATGTATGTATGTATGTATGTATGTATGTATGTAGATGGGTATATATAAAATGTATGTGTTAGTCTGCATGCGTGTTTATATGTATCAGGTCAATATGTGCTGTATTTGTGTGTATTTCTTCACAATATACAACAGCGACACTCAGCACTCAGTTCACAGTAACACTTTTACCTGGTAGTGTGAGAGTAAACCTTAATTAATGAGACCAACAGGTGGCTCCTGGTCACGTCATAGAAACACCTTAACCTCACCACCTTTGGCATGTGTGTTACAGGTTGTACATATGAGTGTATGTCTCGTTATGTGAATTTATGTATGTAATTGGGACTTATGTTGGTATTTTTCTGATACATAGGTAATGGAAATTATGTATTGCCACGTTATAAGTTCTGTCGTTCTTATAGTTCGTCTTAACATGCCAAAGTAATCAAGACATTGAGGATGGAGGTTATAAAGGTGTGTACTGTGTTAGGTTGGGTTAGGTTAGGTTAGGTTAGGTTAATGTTGGGTTGGGTTAATGTTGGGTTGGGTTGGGTTGGGTTAAGTTGGGTTAGGTACAGTACACGTAACAGTAATAATCCTTGGCCTTTGTTGAGAGAATCATAAAGGGACGACACGTGTGCCATTACCCTTACACTCTGACACACACACAATTACATTCCAACTGGGGTGACAGGAATTACCTTCTCCAGCGACTGAAATGCAAATAGACGAAACGAGAGGGATTCTGGGCTGGTGAATGTTGTGTCAGGTGAATGTCGATTGTGGAGAAATTATTGTGTCATCTATGTATATTTGATACATGTACAGATGCTAAACAAAAACTATCTGTACTTGGGATGATGGATGAATTTCATAATGAACACTGAGACTCCTGTTGTCTGTATGGTTGTGAAAATTCTTCGTCCGTTGTGTCATATTGTTTAAGATTAATTGTGTAAAGATAGTCTTTTGATCGATTAATATATCTACAGTATAATCATGGTGGTCTGGGTGTTCAGTGTTGGGAAGTAGATTCATGGTAACAAATCCCATATATTCAGTGTTAAAAGTAAGATGCTGTAGATGCCGTCAGTGATATGTTTCTCATAAAATCATCAGTGTTGCTTAAACCTAAAAATATTTCCTTGGTATTTGTACTGGCAAATTTAGCAGTAAAGGCCAGATATCATCCGTGCGTGCGTGTCAAGACATTATGCATTTACACACCTCAACACCCATGATTAGGTTTGGTTAGGTTAGTTCATGTATAAATTTACCTGAGATTTAATTGAATTTCTCTAGTCCAATGATCAAAACATTCCACCCAATATAAAAATCATATATATCCACTGAGCCCTGATCATGAGAGGACTTGGTAAACAAACATCAAAGCTCAATCTGGTTATTACAACAAAATCTATTGGTAAATGATGTAATTAAAAATGCTTCATTATCAAAACTATAATATTTCTTTAAACACTAATAATTATTTGTTTCCTCAAGGTAATTATTTTTATTCTTGTTTTCATCGTTTTTTTTTACTGTTGTTGTTTGTGTTTTAGTTGATGTTGTATTGTTATGTAGTTAATATTTCCTGTACGCCTCCTCCCTCCTGACATTCGATATAGATACAACAGATTACAGATACAGATTGCCCCGGAGGGGGCTAGTTTATTGGGCACACCCTTACATCCTGTGCAAGGTGAAGCGCAGAAGCGTTTACAGCGCCCATCTGGGAAGCATGCGGAGTTCATGCTTGCCTTTATGACTCATGCATTAAAGGCGTAAAAGCCTGAAGGGTCATGGGTTTTGTCAGCAAGTTACATAAAGTGACAGAATGATGAGTGTGTGTGGGGGGAAATTCCCGGTACATTTCATCTGTTTATAGCAAAGCGTGGCAGGTCCCTAATAATGTCAAGTGCCAGGCCTGTGACTAGGAGGAGGGATATCTGGTCAGGGAGGAAAGAGGTGTTGGTAACGACTGGGGACCTGTAGGAGGAGGTCATAGGGCAAGTGAGGATGTAGTGACGTAGGGTGTGAGAGTCGGGTTGGCCACAAATTTTACAAACAGTGCGGCCAGGCTCAGGGTTGCCAATGTACTCCCATAGGTACCTGTACCCTAGGCGCAGTCTCATGTATATAATCTGTTGAGATCGAGTCAGAGATTGATACTCTTTGTAGTGGCGGTTGGAGTCACCGGTTACAGCGTCATAGTGGCATAGTGTGACGCTGCCCCTTTGTTTCAGGTGTGTCCATTTTACGTCGAATGCTTCTCGTATGCGAGATTTGAGATGATTCAGGGAAAGGGCGAGGGTGGCTTCAATATCTTCTTCTTGTGTCGCTTCTTTGGCAAGTCGATCAACAGTGTCACAGGCAGTTATTCCTATATGTGACGGGATCCAACTGAACTTGACACGGATGTCATCAGTTTGTTCTAGCCTGGCGGCGGCGGCTAGGGTGTGTTGGGCGGCAGGGGAGGAGGGGGAGGGTAATTTGAGCCTCGCTAGCGCAGAAGTGCTGTCACTGATTATCAGGAGGTTCCGGCGTTCAGTGCGAGCATAGGTCGCCCCCTCATGAATGCCCGCGAGGATGGCTATGCTTCCAGTGTCAGTGGAGGAGGCCCAGTCGTGGGCCCTGATTTTCTTGCGGGCCTGGCGCTCAGGAATCCATACAGCTGCCCCAGCGCAGCCCAGCGTGGTGACAGACCCATCACAGTAGACGAGGATAGGAGGGAGGGAGGTCGTAAGAGAAGAGGCGACATCATCAATCTGCTCAAGGCAGTTAAGTTTGAGCATATACCTCAGTTGGGTGGATTTACGACCAGGGAAGGTGTGGACGACAACATCAACACACGGGGAAGTCCACGGCGGTAGAGGTGGATGAGTGTACTCGGGAGGGAGAGAGGTCGAGGGGGTGTAAAGGTGATAACGCAGGATGTCAGCAGCAGTGTGGACGGGCCAGTGTTGAGAGGGGGAGGGAGAGGTAATGGGGGCAGGCCGGCGCAGGAGGGAGTCAAGATGTGAGTTCAGTGAGCGAGACAGGGGAGTCGGTTTCTCACTGTGAAGGAGTTTAACACCAAGGATGGCATTGAGAGCAGTAATTCGATCGCAGACTGGAAGCAGGATCAGTTCACGCTGCATGACTTCTATTCTGGTGGTCATAGGGCAGCCGAGGATGAGTCTCATCGCTCGTTTTGGATTTTCTCTATGCTTTGTTTCTCGCGTTGGGAGGCAACTGCAAGGACAGGAGAGGCATAATCTATGACAGCTCTGACGATAGCAATGTACATGAGGCGTAGGACCCTGACAGAGGCTCCTTTGAGGCCGTGGGTAAGGGACTGGAGGGGCCTCGTTCGTTGGCGGCACTGGGAGATGACGTGGGCGGCGACAGCAGAGGTGGTGGCGCTGGTAGCGGCTCGCACGGGTAGACCAAGGTACCTGTAGGTACTTACTTGATCGATGTCTTGTCCTTGCAGTCAGCGGAGTCTGACGCCGGAAGTGTGAGATGAACTTGGTTTTAGTGTGTGAGATGACTAGCCCGAGTGTTTGACAGGTCCGGGCGAACGTGGAGAGTATAGGTTGTTCATGTTGCACTGTAGTAATTTGGAGGAGAATATCATCGGCGCAGCTTATGATGTGACCGTCTAGGGCGCGATCAGCAAAGATGTCGTTGAGGCGGCAGATGGAGTTCATGAGTACATTAAAGAGTGTAGGGCTGAGTATGCCTCCCTGAGGCGTGCCAAGATCAAGGTCCCTGATCGTAGAGTAGTGGCCCTGAAACCGGACACGGGCCTGTCGACGGGAGAGGTAGTCAGCAATCCACGTGAGGAGTTTGCCCTTCACATCAATGTGAGTGAGACCCTCAAGGATCACTTCACTATTGGCTTTATCAAAAGCACAACTTT